GTATACAAAATTTATTTTTTCTTGTTTAAAACAAACAAAACAGGCAAAAGCATGAATTTTATGAAATCATTCGAAAACATTTCGTGAAGAGACTGGTTAAAATTTCAAAGCAAAAACTTGAAAATCCTTCAAATTGAAAAAGTCGAAGAAAATGGCGTAAATATCAATAGAAAGAAAATCTTTTCATGGTCGATTGAAATTTGCTTCTTTTGTGTTTTATATTGAAACATGTAAATGTTTCTAATGATAAAATATCATGGGATGGGCTGGAAACTTGAAATGACATACGAAAGGGTCGTTGCAACCCGATGAACACCAGATATGTGTACTGTGATGAAACGAATAAAAATAAAAATATGGAAATAAAAAAATGCTTGATATATATATATATATATATATATATATATATATATATATATATATATATATATATATATATATATAAAAACATTAGACAACATATGATTTACATACAAAGAATAATCACACATAGAATTAATCAAGTATTAATGCAATTATTGGCGACATCCATCGCACTATGGATGAACAGGATTTTTAATGCATATATATATATATATATATATATATATATATATATATATATATATACTAGCAGCATGACCCGGCGTTGCCCGTGCTTGATTCAAAAATCGTACGACTCATACAGCAATCGCTATCACTTGACTTAAAATATTTTTTGCCCTTCCTGCCTTTAAAGGAGTGCCCTTTGCCGTGCTGATGTTGTTACATGCCTTACTTCTTGCCTATCTCACACTGCGAATTTTTTCTAAGCTCTATACTAAACATTAAATCTGTTACGAAAAAAGAACTAAACAAAATGAACACAAAACGATCAGCTTTAAAAAGGACTCATAACTGGAAAAACCAAATGAAAAAGAATGTTAACAACAAATACTTTTTCACACCCAACCCAGTTCTGCAGAATCAGAATCAACGTTGAGTTTAAGCAAGCGAACGAGCCAATTGGAGTAAAGTGCCATGCAGATTTAAATTTTTCCCACTTGTGACGAATGCAGCTATCGATTTTTTTGTATGCTAGCATGCTAGTTAACATTCGTGTCAGTCAGCTGTTGGCTCTCACGCTGGCCAATAGAATCTTCCTGCCTATTCGTGGCATATAACTATAGGCTCTCACTCTGGCCAGTAGAAAATGGCCGCAAACTACATGAAAACTGCCGTAGAAGCATGAAGAAATCGATTATTTCCATTGTCGATGGGAGTTGAGAAATGCAAAGTCGGTCTTTGTCTTCCTGTTAACTTGGAGCATGTGCATGTAAATTTTGGTGCAAATCCATCGAAAATTGCGGCCGTGCATTCGTTACACACACACACACTCATTCTCATTCTGCCTTATATATATATATATATATATATATATATATATATATATATATATATATATATATAAATATATAAAATAAAAAGGCTTAAACACTAATATATATATATAGGAAACATACTCGGACTACTATTATCAGTAAAATAACATGATTATGATGATGATTAACAAGGACTTACTGACCATTGCTCTACGGCAGGACACTCATTTCAATCTGTATATATCATTTTACATACATGACATGAAACGATAGGCAAAGTAGAAAGATCGTCGAATTAATGTCGACAGTGACAAGTTGAATCATTTGAAAATGATTTTTCTGATTATTAATCAAAGAACATAAATTCTTCTTATTTATATGAAAAGTAAAATCGTTCATCTTCGGAAATACAGAACAGCAGCAGAGCAATGATCAAGAAATTGGTGTTTCTGTCTTTAAACAAAATCATGACAATATTTAACATTAGTACCCGTCAAAAACAAAGCCAATAAAACGATGTATCAAAAGGATCAAGGGAAGGGTTTATCTAAAGTCTTCCGCAAGCAAAAACTGTTGCACCGGCCATGAGGCCGTCTGTTGTGTCTAATCAAAGCCAATTTCTTTTTAGTTTAGGATTTTCTTTCTTTCTTCTCCCCCCCCCCATTATTATTATTTTATTTTTTTGTGGAGATTCATTAATTTTCTGAAATTGTCATTCATTATTCGTTGGCCAAATGAGTTTTACTTTTTAATTATTTCAAATTATTTTAAGATTAAATTTTCAAAATAACTAGAGACAATGAATGAAAAAACTGAGCGAGCGAGTGAGGGAGGGAGGGAGAGACGGAAAGAGAGAGGAAGGGAGAGAGAGGAAAGAGAGAGGGGAGGGAGAGACGGAGAGAGGGGAGGGAGAGAAGGGGGGAGGGAGAGAGGGAGGGAGGAAGAGAGAGAGGGGGAGGGGAAGAGAGGGAGAGGGAAGGAGAGGAGAGAGGGAGAGAGGGAGGGGATGGAGGGAGGGAGAGAGAGAGGGAGGGATAGAGGGGGAAGAGAGAGAGAGGGACGAAAGAGAGAGGGAAGAGGGAGGTCGAAATAAAGGGAAGAGAGAGAGGGAAGAGAGAGGGAGCGAGAGACGGAGGAAGAGACGTATGGAGCAAATTCATTTAATATATATATATATATATATATATATATATAGATAGATAGATAGATAATAGTAGTGGTAAATATACACATACATATGCAAAAGATATAAATATATATGCATACACATACATATATATGTGTATAAAAATAATTCAAGAGGATAGAATCCAGGTAGAACTCAATGTCCAGGACAGAGTAAGGATATAATAAAAAAAGAAGAGAGATTAAACACTAATATTCCATGGTCATAATTTATTCCATTTGGATTGATTTAATACGAATTGTCAATTCATCAAACCTACTCAATTCATATATATATATATATATATATATATATATATATATAAGAAAATTAAAATCCAAAATAACATGAATTTTTTTTTGTAAAATTAAAAAGTTGAAAAGAATTTCAAATATAATTTCATGAATTAGAAAAGATTAAATGAAACTCGTTTTTGTCGGTCAAATTCCGAGAAATCAAAATTTAGATCATCTGTTCCGCGGCTAAAACAAGAAAAACAACTTTTTGGAACACTGTTCACAATATCTTTGGAAATAGTTGAAAAGAAGGACGAATCAAAAGAAATAAACAACAACAACAACAACAAAAAAAAACAACAACAACAACAACAGCAACAACAACAACAAAAAAAATAATAATAATAATAATAGCAAATTTCGAGAAATTTTAGGTCAATTCTTTGTCGAATTGATTCCAAAAAAGAAATTATGATTGAGGCTGAAAATAATAAAATGATTATCGAATTAAATTCTATAAATTTTATACAAATTTTTAGGTATTGTCGTGGTGCTGTAAGTATTGTTGGCTAGGGTCACCGTGAATATAATAAAGAAGGAAGGCTGTGTTCTTGTAAAACAACAACCCACATGAATAATGCACAAGAAACACGAGAGAAAAATAATCAAGCTCAGTGAACATTAATAAAATATTGTATTAACAATGATATACAAATATCAACAATAAGTATAAAGAAAGTTGCTTCCCTTTTTCCGTTATAAAAAGGGTAAGTTTAGCTAATTAATGTTGAGTACAATATTGAATGTTATTTAACTACAAAGTTCAATTGAAGTCTTAGCTAAATAAAGAATAGTTCCACAGTGTTTTATCAGTGTAGAAAAATGTAATGTTCATGAGTGATATCAATAGGAATTAGTATGATTACTCGATTGAGTAATAATTAAAAATTAAAATGTCAATATAGCGCCGTGCCTTATTTTCCAAGAATTGAACTGCTGTTGGCTAACAGCGAGAGGGTTTATATAACGATGCATAGGCTCCAGCGAGCTTGGCGCCAAAAATATAGAAAGATACTAAAATACGCGATTGGTCAGGAAATGGACCAATCCGTGATTTTAGAGAAAATTTCAAATTACGTGCGATGGCAAAATTGTCATATAATAAGTATCATATATTTATGAACCAATGACATTAAAGAAAGCGGAGGTGTGGCACATGTAAGTGATCACCACAATACCCCGTCAAGATTGAAAAGTCAGGGAAGAAAGAGTTTTCAATATGTAATGAAAGTTCTTTGTATTTACTAGGCCAGTGGACAGTACGTCCGCTTTGAGTCCTAGTAGGTGCTGGTGACGAAATTTGAGGACTGTCTAGAGAAGGGCTCATAGGTTGATTGGTTGATCCATCGCGTTCAATACATGCAGGTTTTTTCCAGCGATCGATAGAGAAAGTCGATCGGCCGTGGTTAGTCTGTAAAAGTATAATATTTTCATCGGTCGGGCAAGGACACGAAATGGACCCACATAATGTGGTGTCAGTGGCTTTCTAACAGAATCCTGTCGTACAAAAACGTACTCGCATTCCAGTAAGGAAGGAGGCACATAAACGTCACTTGAAGTGTAACGGGTTGGAGTAAAAGCAAGGGAAGACATTTTCTTCCGAAAAAGGTGATAAAACAGATAAATGAAGGTTCTTGTGTAGATGTTACGGAAAAATATTGTCCTGGTAGTACCAATTGTTGTCCGAAAACTAGATCAGCAGGCGAGCATTTCAGATCTTCTTTAACTTGTGTGAGAAGTGAAAGTAAGACAAAAGGTAAGTTGTCTATCCAAGAAGATTGGTTAGTAGTGCCTATGCTGGTCAAAATCAGCCTTAAGTTGGCGGTGGAACCGCTCAACTAGAAATTGGAATATGGGTGGTAAGCAGTTGTTGATATATGACGAGCTCCAAGTAGGTAGAGTAAATTCTGCGAATAAAGATTGGAACTGCGGTCCTCGATCAAATACATGATCGAGGGCATCCGTAAATAAAATGCAATGTTGAAATATGGGAGCCAACTGGATTCAGCAGTAGTGCTGTTGAGTGGGACGGCAAACGGCCATCTCGTAAATCTATCTATAATTGTCAAAATGTATTGACATCCCCGAACTTCCGATAAGGGACCCACTAGGTCCGCATATAGATGTCGGAAACGACCATCAGGGGCAGCAAAACGACCAACTGGTGACTTAGTGTGTCTCTGGATCTTGTTTTGTTGACAAACAACACAACATTGAGTATATTCCAATAATGCCTTTACGCATCTTAGGCCAGACGAAACGGTCTGCAATTAACCTAAGTGTGGCTTTACGACCAGAGTGGGACAACGAATGAAAGTGGTCGAATATTCGTCGCCGCATGTTGGTTTTGACGACGGGTCGAGGATTACGTAGACTGGTGTCGCATGCGATAAGCTCATCAGTAAAGGGCAAGGGATGATGCTCAATATGTAGCAGACGAATTTCGAAGTGAGTCGAGCAAAGTTATCTCCCGTACTTGTTCATCCGCGATATTTTCCATGTCTAAAGTATCTTGCAGGCTTTCACACAAGGATGCTCTGGAAAGTGTATCGGCAGCAATGTTATCCTTTCTTTAATGTGACGTATATCCGATGTAAACTGAGATATATAATCAAGATATCTGTAGTCTCGAGGATTCTACTTGTCTGATTTAGTTGAAAGGGCAAAAAGTGAGAGGTTTGTGATCTGTGTAGATCACAAAGTGTCTACCCTCTAAAAGGTGTTTAAAATACTTAATTGACAAGTATATAGCTAAAAGTTCCCTTGAAAAGGTACTATACTTCTTCTGTGTGGACGTCAACTTAACGGAGAAGAAAGAAATTGGCAAAGATTTAGCGTCAACATGTTGGTGTAAAACTGCGCCTATGGCGTCAGAAGATACGTCAGTCGTTAATGATAACTGAGTAGTAACACTGTCAGTGAGGCATGAAAGTTTCGTAAAGTTGACCAATGATTTACGAGAGTTGTCAAATGCTTGCGTTGTGTCGTTGTTCCAACAAATAGGAGTATTTTTACGGTCTTGTCCGCGAAGGATATTTGTCAGGGGTGCAAGAATTTGTGAGCAACGTGGGATGAATTGACGATAATAATTGATTTAAGCCAATGTATCTGCGAAGCTGTCGAAGTGTGGATGGCTTCGGAAATTCCTGGATAGCACGTATCCTTTCAGGCAGGGGAGTAATACCTGTAGCATCAATGACGAAACCGAGAAAGTGGAGTTGCGAAACAGCAAACTCACACTTCTCTGGGTTGATTTTTAAACCAAAGTTCTGAAGACGATCAAAGACTTGCTGAATATGTTTACAATGCTCCTGTAAATTAGGGCTAACTATTAGAAGATCATCAATGTATGCGAAAGTGAAAGGTAGTCCACGAAGTACCTCATCTATAAGGCGTTGGAATGATTGAGCTGCGTTGCGCAGTCCAAAAGGCATACGCAGAAACTCGAATAAACCAAACGGCGTGGTAATCGCAGTTTTGGGAATATCTTCGTCAGCGACTGGGATCTGATGAAAGGCTTTGCGCAGATCCAGTTTGGTGAAGACAGTTGCTCCCTGTAATGTAACAGCAAAGTAGGTCAAATTGGGAACTGGGTACTTATCGGGTACCGTTTGTGAATTAAGTCGTTTATAGTCGCCACACAGCCTCCAGGCGCCCTACTGAGCCTTAGTGACCATGTGAAGCGGTGAGGCATATGGACTTGAGGAGGGGCGAATAATCCCGAGGTCGAGCATGTTTTGGAACTCGGCCCGGGCAATCTTGTATTTATCCGGCGCAAGACGGCGAGGTTTAGAATAGACAGGCTGTTCGGTAGTTCGAATCCTGTGTACAATGCTGTGCTTGACAGGCTCTGTATAATTAAAAGGTTGTATCAACGAGGGAAATTTATCCAAAATATCTTGAATCGGATTATCACGCGGCACAGCGATGTGTAATTCTGTAGATGTTAGCTGTGATACAATTCCGCGGTTAGATAGCTTCGTGGTGGAGTCAGATAACTGACGCTGTGAGAGGTCCACGATGAGTTGATAATGTGCCAGAAAGTCGGCGCCTAATATGGGGAATTTCACGTCTGCAACGGTGAATATCCATTGATATGTCCTTCTAAGTCCAATATCCAGTGTTAACGATTGCTCACCAAAAGTCTTGATGTTCGTGCCATTAGCGGCGCGTAAAGTGACTGAAGAGTTAGTCTTAGTGAAGTTGGGTGATGGTGGAACAACGCTAAGCTGTGCTCCCGTATCTATCAGGAATGACATGTTAGAATTCCTGTCTTTTATATAGAAGAGACGGTTAGTAATATGTGTCCCAACAGCAGATGCCGCCTTCAAGTGCTGCTGGGATCTCCGAGCTGTATAGTATTAAATAGATCGTGCAATCTGCGCTCATGCGATTTCCCAGTACGGTAGATGATGGCTTCCTTTACTATATCAAAGCGGTTATGAGCAGGAACATTTCTAAAAGGTCTAGCACGTCAGCAGCGATCTCTGGTGGCAGCTTCTCGACTATGTAAAGCGTAACGCGCAGTCTGATCGTCAATATGCTTTGCTTGGAATATGGCTTCAGTCAGGGCGAACCACACGTTTACATTAGTCATGTCAAAAATTGGGAGGGTCAAACACGACGGCTGTCTCTTGTGCTGACTGCTCAGAAATTATGAATAAACACGTGGTGTTTCGGCGCGAAAATATCTCTCAAT